TTATTTTTGAATTTTAAAAGTGTCTCAAGTGCCATTTCCTGTCATTTATGTTAAAGGGAGACCCTAACCCTTCTCTCAGGTCCTGGGCTGAGAAAATATTAGTTACTGACCCAGGGCAGGACTGCTAAAGCTGCTTTAAACAAAAGAATACATGTTACCAGGACTGCTCCGTCAGTGAAGGGACACAAAAAGAAAAATGGAAGGAAAATCTTGCCTAAAAGGGAGGGAAGTGGACAGGGTCTGTCATATCATGGTGGAATGCAGGGGAGAGAGGCAGTCTTGTAGATAAGATGGTCCAAGGCCATGCTTTGTATGTTATAGCCAATACCTTAAATTGAGTCTAGTAACTGATGGACAGCCTGCAGAATGAAAGTTGATCCCAATAATTGCCAAGCTGCATCATTCTGCACCAGTTGGAGTTTCTGAACTGATTTTAAGCGGAGATCAATGTACAGTGCATTGCAGTAGTCTAGTCTCAATGTTACTGGGTCTATGTGGCCAGATCAGCTGGAGCAAGGTACGTGCCCATCTTTTGGGCTAGGCTTTTTTTGCCACTGCATTAACTTATTTCTCCAGTAATAATGTTGTGCCCAGTATAACCCCAAGGGGCCAACTGAACCCCATCAAAAGGGGAGGGGCACAGTGTCCTTCAAAATCTCCACCTTCCAATCAGAATGACTTCTGTCTTAAAGGGTTTCGTTTCAATTTGTTAATTCTTACCCAATTTATCATAGCAACCGGGCATTTATTCAGAATACCACCTCACCAGGGGATTTGAATAATGATATAGAGCTTAGTATTATCTGTATATTGATGACATCCAGCTCCAAAGCTATGAATGGTTTCTCCTAAGGGCTTTACATAGAGATTGAAAAGCATGGGGGATAACATTGCATTCTGTGTAACTCCACAGGATACATCCCACACTGATGACAACTGGTCTTCCACAGCAACTCTTTTGCGTCCAGTCTGTGAGGAATGATTTGAACTAGTTCAGTGCACATCCCCTGATACCTACTTCTGCCTCCAAGCCCCTCAAACAAGATGGTGTGATCTACTGTATGTCACAGGGCACTCTAGGATTTGCCAGCCCCCTATGGTTTAACCATAGTGTTTACGAATCCTAGAGCATCCCCCTTTGACGTTATGGCATAATTGCTGGTTTTCACAGGAAATGAATAAAATAATCCTGGGGGTTGCAATTGCTGGTTTTCACAGGAAATGAATAAAATAATCCTGGGGGTTGCAGGCTGTGGCCTGACAGCCCTCCCTCAGGCAAATATGCTTTTCTGGCAACTGAATCACTGAGGTCCCTTCCATCACCACCACTGGCATGGTCTTTTCCTTCTGTTTCTCAGAGCTAGGGAAAAGTCTGAAGGACAGTAGATATTTCTCTTACCCCCCCCCCCCCCCCCCTGTCTGTCGAGCGGCCCACGACGTTTTTAAGAGAAGAAGAGGAAAGTACCATAAGATTGTAAAGAACTACACTGGAGGAGATCGTACTCACAGAGCTGATGACAACTGGTCTTCCACAGCAACTCTTTTGCGTCCAGTCTGTGAGGAATGATTTGAACTAGTTCAGTGCACATCCCCTGATACCTACTTCTGCCTCCAAGCCCCTCAAACAAGATGGTGTGATCTACTGTATGTCACAGGGCACTCTAGGATTTGCCAGCCCCCTATGGTTTAACCATAGTGTTTACAAATCCTAGAGCAACCCCCTTTGACATTATGACATAATTACTGGTTTTCACAGGAAATGAATAAAATAATCCTGGGGGTTGCAGGCTGTGGCCTGACAACCCTCCCTCAGGCAAATATGCTTTTCTGGCAACTGAATCACTGAGGTCCCTTCCATCACCACCACTGGCATGTTCTTTTCCCTCTGTTTCTGTTGTGTCCGCTGACCGCCACCAGAGGCCAGCGCACACTCCTGAGCTTGAACCCGGCATAACAATAGGGACTAGGATCCT